CTTCCGATACCAGATATTTATGTTCTAGAATCAATTCCCCTATTAGAATATTGGTATTTTAGTAATTTGGGGTAAAAGATTTTTAGTTTATGATGGAATCCTTTCCAGACATTAGAATCAAAAATAGTCATTGTAGGCTTTAAGAAATAAAAAAAAAAACACTAAAAATATTTGATATTTATATTGTTTATATGTTTATTTCAAAACATAGATAATGACATATATATATATAAAAAAAGTGTTTTTAAACTTTATTATTATTTTCTATCAGTCACATTTGTTTTTAATTGTTTACTGAATGTTTTAAAATGCAGGAGTTGACTTTTCAGGTTTGTTTGTTTCTTGTGTGATAATTCTTCATAATTACAATAAGAAGAAGAAGTCTGATATCTGGTACTCATTATGAACATATAGTTTGAAATACAGAACTTTCGGTTTTCCAAACACATTGAGTTTTTGTTCAAAGCTTAGGTATTGGATGAGTATCGCTGATACCAGCTCTGATTTTACTTGATATGGGATAAGAAGGGAAATCAGTGGTATTGCACATCACACTAGAAAATTTTGAATTATCCCGATATTTACCATTTTGAAAACACATTTTTATTCATTCAAAGAGCTGACGAACCAAAGTAGAGCTTTGATTGCATTCAATAGAAGGTTGATTTTGCACACTTTAATTCATGCATTTTTTTCAGATTGCTCTTGTTGCTCACATGTGATGGATAGTAGAGGAAGAATGGTTGTTTTTTCTCAACCGATGTGGTTATGAAGTTTGCTGCAAAGTCACTGTAACTCCTCTCCAGATCCAGGAAGTTGACTGGTTGTTGCTTGATGACCTCATTCTCCATTAGTGGGACGACTACGTTGCTAATATCACACAATCCATAGCACTTTATATCTGGAGGGAAACAAGTCAGATTCTTACAGGGGCCCTGGGGAAGAAAAGACAAGATAGAAAAATTAACAGACAGCAATACAGAGTGAAGAATAGTAAACTGAATATAGCAAAGAAAAGAAATTTCATGATGCAATTTTAAGTAGCACAGACTGGAAACACACTGACCATGTCATGGGAGTATGGGATCCCCAGGAAATGGTCAAAGCCCTGCTTGGTTGGAAGAAACATGCCATTATGCCCAACACCTAGATGCCACTTTCCTATGACTGCTGTAGCATAACCCAGGGGCTTTAACACTTCAGCGATGGTGGTGTCATTGAGAGGAAGACCACCTATAGATCCTGGGTACAACACGCCTGGGTAGATTCCTGACCGGGTCTGATAGCGACCTGTCAACAATGATGCCCTTGGAAAAAGACAACAAACAAGGCAGTTAATTAACAGTGGAAAAGATAGTGGGGTCATTTTGAACACTCTTACTTCACTTAGGAAAACGGCCTAAAGAAACTCACTGCATCAATTCATCCAACAATGGAAGATGAAAAACTACAGGACATGTAGGGAAGATTTGGTTGCATGTCAAAGTAAAAGTTTAGAGGCAACAACAAAAATTTCATGTGCTTAATGAAACTTGAAAATAATTACTCTTAATTACTCTTTTTGACACGTCTCAGTAATTTTTTTAGCCCTCTTTCTCAGTTTCTCCCAAGTCTTCCCACTTTTCTGTTGATTTTTTTCTTAATTAAATTTTTAAAAAATGTATTTTTATTTTATTTATTTATTAATTTACTGGAAAAATCTTTCGATCTTCCATTTCTCAAACCAAGAATACTGAGTTTTGAAGAAAGTTACCCCTCTCCCATTATAATAATACTTTATATTACTATAGGACCTCAATAGCTATGTCATAATCAGAATCAGAAGACTTTATTTATCCCCAAGGGGCAATTAACATACAACAGAGCAGCATGAAGTTGAACATAAGGACAATAAGAACAGTAAGAGTGAGATGAAGTTAAGGACAAAATGGAAGAGAGCAATGGTGGCTGGAACTGCTAGAATAAACTGTTAGAAATGACTGACCTATAACCTTTGAAACATATGTTAAACATATGTCTCGTCAACGATATTAAGCAATTTTAAGCCAGGAGGAACATTTGTGTCATGAGGTTCAGAATCTGTTTTTTCGCAAAGATATATGCGAAAAAATATATGTTTTAATTATGAATGTAAAATGCTCATTGCCGTTAAAAAAATCTCTTTTTCAAGAATGTAGACCAAGAGGACAGCAGAAACCGCAATAAATATAACATAACAGTTCTACAAAGATATTAAGTGGATTAATGCAGAACTATTTAATGCACAATATACACAATAAGAGAAGTCTACCAATGACTTATTTATTAATGAGTCCATTAATAATTTGTCAGTTACAACTTTAAAGAATAA